CTCCTACCTCTAACAAGTCCATCGCTGAAATGGTATTGCCAGTTAAAAAGTACCTCTAGTTTTACCTACTTCTTGCATGTTTTTCGATATAAGACGTATAACAAGGAGCAACAGGAAGTCCTCCCAAACATCTTCCAGTTGCTCAATATGCGGGGTGTTCAGTGTTTTTACGATTTTAAATGTGCTTTTGAGAAGGAAAGATAGGAATTTTAAAACTAACATAGGGAGCTAGTATGGGAGTAATAAGTATACACCTTTTATTCAAACATATTATTTATTTATTGTATCTTGTCTGATAATATGTTAAAGAGCGGGATTGAGGGAAACAACTTCGGTACACAAGATTGTCAGTCAAGTATATGCGAGGGAGGCTTTTATAATCCAGCTGAGTTGATCGCGTCACTGTATTACCCAACAGCAGCTTTTTCTATTGTCTCCTTTTTGACAAGTATTGGTCCCCCCCATGCTTTTTGACTATGACATTTTTACTTTTCACATGTGGAGCTCAAAAAAGAGACTTTACAAATTGAAAGTAAAATAGAATCACCAACATTTTCGAATACGAGTCGTCATCGTCACTTTTGTCGATGGTACATCTATGTAGATGACTTGGAATGGCAAACAATTAACCAATAATATAAATGCACATAGAGCGCTCTAAAATCCTGACGTTGAAGTTAGAATATAATCATGATAAAATAGGTTTTATCCATGTTCTTATTGACACTTTTGCTACAGGTTTTGTTGGAGTGAAGAGTTGTGAAAGATCATACTGTTGTCCGATTTAGTTGATGTCATTTGCCATGCCATAAAAAATAAAATTTGAAGACACTTCCCTCTCTACTACTACATGTATTGCCTAATCTTTTCACAGGCATGGACGACAGGAACCCTACTTCAGAGGAGGCCCCATGGGAGATTTTGTACAAAAGAGAAGTAACTCCTTGTGTGGTCAAATTTTGTACAAGAGTTGTCCATGGAAGAAAGAGGACCAAATATTTTCCTTCAGTTGGTGTAATGACTATTGCTTTCTTTTTCACAGTTTCTTTTTTAAGATGGACTTTTGGAATTTTGGAATTGTGCAATGTACGATTAATGTTCGGCTATAACGTGACAATAGCCCAGCGTCTCCACTCGGAGTAATTTGACATCAAGATATGTTCTATCTCATAGCAGGAATTTCAGAACTGTGTAGCGAAATTGTGAAGAGGAGGAGTCCATAAAATACAATAAAATTCAATGAAACTCCCTAAAGAGGCCTGGTTATGATCATTTCTTTTATCTAGTTATTGATCTATCTAAATGTCTATCTTAGTTTTTTTCTTGGCTACTAATGAATCTACAACTACTCTGTAAAAGAAAATTCAGAAGGCGTTAATTAAAAATGTGCACTATTGAGGGTCACAGGAGGGGGCCACAGGAAGGCTATCTTTGTTTTCACGCACCATTTTATCCACCCAGAGGAATTATTTACTGGATTTTAAATGACAATCTTAGAGTTGATTTTCACTGTCGAAAATAGAGGCAATGCATTAACGGTCGCACGTAAACGTAACAGAAGAACCTCGCTCAACTTCACGTTTAATCTCAACACTTTATATCTTGCCTCTATTTTATTAACGTGATTAAAATTCATGTGCGTTAATGTGCAGAGCCAAGAACGCGTCAGTGGAAATCAACCTCTAGCGACCATGCGTTTAAAGAAATGACCTCTTACCAAATACTTAGTGAATTTATTTTGGTAACAAGCGATTTTCGATTACGAAACGAGTGTTCATCTTCCCGACCGCAACAAGACTCCAAGCCCAGCCGTGGGAGGTGTTTTGACAGCAAGATATTAAGTTATAATTTTAGTTTTCCTTGTACAAGAAACTCCTTACGTTTGACAAAATTGTGTAGAGGTGTTAAAAATAAATGTTGTTTGTGATAAAAGGGAGTCTTTTTTATTTCGACGACTATTTTTACTTTTTTTTGGAAAAAGTTATTTTGTATGATTTTGAAATTGCGAATTGAGCGGTAAAGTGACCTGACATCTCATCCTTCACACCACCCAGGGGCAGGCCAGCACTGACAGATAATTTTGACCATGCAAAAAAAACTTTTAACTCACATCAGGAATATTTCTTGGCTAGATTATATAAAAGAGTTGTTCTTTCTTTTGAAGAAGGAAGGCCATGATTGGTGTAATGACTGTTGTTTCCTTTTATTTTCCTTAGTAAGAAGTGATTTTGAAATTGCGAAATGAGTGAATGTGAATGAGTTATTTTCCAGCTGAAAGGTAATTAACTTACCCCCCCCCCCCCCCCCAACGATCCGATAATTATATAATTGTCGTCTGAAAGAAAGTACTGCCTAAAAACACCTTGATCTTGGAGCAGGTCCAATGAAGCTTGTCTTTACTCATGGTAAGTGTACTTAGTTTTTCTTGCCTACTAATGAGTCTCAGATTAAACAATGGACAAAAAAATTTCCATGCAATCGGCCAAAAAATGAACCAAAGAAATTTTATCGACAAGATCAGTGTAATAACTACAGTCGAGTCCCGAACAATGGTTCTTTTCTTAATTTTGGCTATTTTCTTTGAGCTCCCGATAACTCGAACTGTTTTCGATTTTCCTTGAAGGTTCAGCTGAAAGACCAATTTCATAGTCGGAGATGCCAGTTGACAAGCGCACCCCACCCCCTTCCCCCACTTGCGGGAGGTAGAGTAAACTTACGGGGTTATGTGAGGGCTAATTTCAACAAGCTTTATACGGGGGGTGTAGTTTCGTTTTCACGACTGGAATGACAATAATGAGGTCGCATTTTCAACAGTGTTACTAGAATGGGCTCGGATATTTTCGGATTTTTTCAGGGTAGGACAGTTCTTCATATTTACGGTTAGCAAACGTACCAGAATGTTTGTATTGTACATGAAAAATAAAGTGTGCTTCATTCAATCTAAAAAAATGGGTCAATTCATAACAATATAAAGTGACTAAGCTGGAATGGCGAGAACTATGTACATATTTGCCCAAAAGTGACTAAGATGGGGTCTATAATTGGCCACAGGATAGACTGTGATGGGGTAGAGGCTCTGAGACGGCCGGTAGCATATACCCAGCAAAAATTAACGCAAGTACCCTCTTCCCCGGGATTCATCCCTGGGACTAACTTCACGAATCATGAGCCTATAAAAGTGTAGGGACATGACATGTCAAAGGACCTGAAAGGATGCGTTTCATTGTCATTCAGTTTCATTTCATTTTTCACTTCACTTAAAGGAATTGTATAGGAGCCGCTCGTAAGGTGTCTCCTAACTGCTCACAGGAAACAATGAAATGTAATCCTTTCAATTGTTTTAGAATTATTTGGGGTCAGGGTTACGCACCATTGGGGACGTCTCTTCCGAGCTGTGCTTCATGTTTCACCAAACGGGTATCAATCCCCCGGGGAGGGGGGGCACTTTAGGAATTTCTGGTTGGGGATGTGCCGCTGGGAGGCTGGAACCCTTAACCTTTACCAGAGCTAGTTCAGCTGAGTTTTGCTACACTGTACTGGAGTAAACTCCCCAAATCCCCCCATCCTAGAGTAGCTGTGTACCTAGTCTAGATAAAATCTTCAACCAACTGACCAGTTTCCTGAAAAATGATACCCTATTCTAGAGCCAAACGCTCTGATTTATATACCCTATCCTAGAGTAAACTGTTTGAAAACCATACCCTTCACAGCGGCACATACCTATATAGCCCATATATGGTAGTACCCCTGGGGGTATCAACTGACGTATATATTGACGTTTACAACCTTAAGAAACAAGTAAAAGCAACAGGTGTTTTGACCAGCACTGCTGTAGGTTGTTTTGAATGCAGCTTATAAGCTCCTTCGCTATAAGCCTAAAGAAGATAAATAAACCCAGCCGAGGGCTTGCGAGAGATATGTAACATTATTCCTTTTTTCTTGTGACCGAGTAAACGCTTTTTATTACTTTTTTTTTCAGGCCAATTTCCCAATGTTTTACATCTACATTTCTCTTCTTCTTCTGCTGTGTACGGAAACCAGTCAGGGGGTGACTCTAGGAAAGGAAGAAGAAAGTATATTGAGAAGTTTAATTAGTGAGTTCGAAAAGGATCCAACGAATGATCGTTTTGATCATGTAATTCAATTAGGAATAGCAAAACGGAATGCACTTCCAAAAGTCTTCATCTGGTGCCCATTGAAGCATTTTCGCATTAATGTCTACTGTCCAATTCACAAATCACCTTTGGTCTTTCATTCCTGGAATGCTGACTTAGAATCCAGAAGCTTCAACGAACCACGACTTGTGTATGATTTACATGGAAACATTGTATTAGTGCAGTCGATGTACCGATGTCCATTCAAAAACCCTGATCAACAGTCCCACCGAGTGGGTCACATCTACCGTTCTGCTTCCGTAGAAATACTTAGAAGTATTCCAAGAACAATAGAGAACTCGTTTCCATTCCAACTAAGTTATCGGACGGCCTGTTCTCCAGAACTGCTGGATTATTTGGTCGTTCACATCGGTAGAGGACAGAACTTTCTTGAATTGACTGAAGACATAATGTCAATGCACTTTAGGAAATTCTTACAATCTAGATCTCCTGACTGTGATTCGGTCGATTTAAACGAATTTTACACTAGTCCCCTGTATTCTGTTCCAAGCAACGATCAATTAATGCATATCTTTCTCGCATATTATGATAGTGTGAGCAGTATTTTTGAGAATGAAATTCTAAAAACTCAGTGCTCCATTCTTACTTGTGATCACACCTTTAAAGTAAGCAAACACATCGGAGTAACAAGAGGTGAAGACTCGGCATTTGTGAATCAGTTTGAAAACCTCTTCATTGGTTTAAATGAGAACGGCGAAGTGGTCGCATGGAGATTAACTAAAAGTACTTCCTTTCGTGAAGTACAAGATACCCTTACCGAATTAAAGAATAGACTTTCCACAAGTGGAAAATTACTGAATATGGTGGTGGTTGATGATTGTTGTTCAGTGAGAGCTTCATACAAATCCGTGTTTCCAGAAGCTGTTGTAAAGCTTGATCTTTACCACGCATGCCAACGTGTCGTTAAAACTCTTTCAAAAGGATTGCCAAAGACACAACAGCTCTCAAAAGAATTTGGCTTGATTTTTCGTGCTAATGGAGACACTGGGCCTGAGCGTGAAAGAGCAACTCCTGACGAGGAAACGATAGAAAGTAATTTAGAGATGTTTTTGAAAAAATGGGAGTCCCAGTTACCTGTTGCGACAATAGAATCTATCAAAAACTTGAGAAAACATATCCGAAAAGGATGTTGTTCAGCAATTCCCGCCGGAGCTGGTACACAGAGAAACGAACGACTACATAAATCACTCAAGCGATCTCTTCTGGGTGGTGCATCAACTGTTTCACCAGAGTTAGCTGTTGCAGTATTTTCGATCGTTCTTTACGTCTGGAGCTATAAAAGGAAGCCAGGGGTAACGAAACACATGTCAAATGCTCGCGTGATACCTTTAGCGCCAATAGAGCTCTACGGCAAAAATAAAAATATCTCAAAGGAGATTATGCGGGCATTCCACTGTAACACATCACAAACTGAACTTTCTTCTACTATGGACCGACAAAGAAATTTGCCTCTTAATTACAAAAACTCTACGATGGTCCATGTACAGGCTAGCGAAGTAGTTGAAATTTCGGAATTAAAAAATGATTCAGTGTTGTCTCTCGTGATCAGTCGCGCCATACATTTGAAAGAGGTTTTCTCGTCTATCGAAAGCATGTGTATAACTCGAGACTTCAACATCTACGAATTTCCATTTACCAACAAAAGAAGTCTGATCGATGTCATTGTAAAAGAAAATGACAATATATATGATGAATACGGATTAGAAAGTGACATGAACATGGAATGCCTACAGAGAAATTTGGCGTCCTTTGGTCTCGAATTAGAGTCGGTTCCAGGAAATGGCGACTGCTGCTTCATTAGCATCGTTAAGGAGTCAAACAAGTTAATGCTCAGCAGCGATGAAAATAATGCTGAATTTCGGCGACATTTAGATCGCCTTGGCTTTCAAGGATCTTTGAATGAAGATACAAAGTTGTTAAGGTCACTATTTTGCCAGGAAATAGAAGAACATATTGAACAATACAGGAACTTTGTGGATTTCGATATAAATGAGGAGTTGTCGAAGTTCTCTGTATCAGGATGGTTCAACAGTTCCCTTGGAGATCTTTGCGTTCTTGCGTGTAGCAACCTTTTGCAGACCTCCATAGTCTTGATAACATCTATTCCGGGCACCCCGTTTATACCATTTGTTCCGTCAACAATTTGCAACAAAATGGCCATCTTCATAGCATACAACCATTCTGGGCCTGGACACTACGATGCTACTCGAGGTGAGGAACATTAGGGAATAAGACGCGTCTTACATAAGACGCGTCTTAAATAAGACGCGAACTTTCCGTATAAACGGCACATTTGGTCTAAAATAAGACGCGTCTTATTAGATAAGACATGCTCTTATAAATGGTACAGCTGGCGTATTATTTAAGACGCATCTTATGTAAGACGAGTCTTATTTTTCCTCGTATAAATTGCCCTATTGTGTTTATCGTTGTAATGATATAGGTTTCTTGAGTGGTATAAATTTTACTGAAGAGATCATGCGCAAAAAATGACATGAACTACAGTGGAGCCCCGCCTTATCACCACCGAGGTCCATACGGTCACCTCGTTATTAAGATCACTTTTTTTTGCCGCCCGGTAAAAACGACTATTCATTTTCTTGTAAACAAAGACTCGCTATACGGTCACCTAGTCAGTACGGCCACTTTTTTGGTCTATTGGTATCAACGGATTTTTTTCGAAATTTTCTCTGGTCGTCGTGATATTGTTGTTTTAAGGAATAGAGATACAGAAACAGAGGGTGCGGTGAAGGTTCTACTTGGTTTGCAATCTTCTTTCTTTTGAATAGACAAATTCAAATTCTTGCAAGCGTCCCACAATGAGCTCGGGGCAACCCTGACGGCTCCTTCTCTTCCCACACAAATGACAGTGTGGTAAACGGGTACACATTACTTAGTATTGAGAAGATTTCGTCTTCATTCAAGAAAGCACATATAGACAAAGTGTAGAACAGTACCCCAAACACCACATGTTAACTACTGTGAAACTTCGCGGCCGTCTTCAGAAGTACAATATAACCGCGATTATTATGTCAACTGTACTACTTATACTATTTGCATACTAATTGCATCATGATCGGCTGGAGAAGTGAAGTGTTCGCAACTGACGCATGCCCGATAGCTGGTATGGATAAAGAAAAAAAATAAGGTTCAACAAAAAGAGAAAAATAGATGAGTAAAACGTAAAATAAAAAGCACGTGGTCAGACACGTTATGACAGCTAATATGTCACCTGAATGAAGGTTTAATGGCTGTACCAAACGAATATAAATTTAACCTACATGTATGTCTCTTGAATATATGCCCCAAATAAAAATGTTTTCATATATTTTTTATTATCAGAGATGGGGAGCCAAATCGTGTCAAACAGCCAGAACAAAAAGAAAGGTTGTTGCTGTGGGTTAATGTCTAAGTCTCGAGGGCTGACAGATATTGCATCCTGCATGGAATCTGAAAAATCAAGGTGCTCCTGCCTAAGGAATCAGCAAACTTGCACTCGTCTCTGTAGATGTATAAATTGCAATAATCAAGGTTTACAGGAAAAGGGAGCAGTCAGCAAGCGTAAAGGTTGTACCTGCGGATCATTGAACAAGGTGAAAGCAAGGCGACTTTCCTGCCAAGATCACGTTGAGAGAAAGTCGAGATGCCCTTGTTTACGCGTTGGAGTAAAATGCGATAGCGTGTGTAGGTGCACAAACTGTGGAAATGGCAAGGACTGCCCCGACAAACGTTGCTCCAACACCACACCATCCAAGCGAAAAAGGACAAATCCACAAACATACAAACGAATGAGAGGGGCTGATTACTTAGCAAAACAGGGATTCACTGTATCTAGTGGTCCTTGGACAAAGCTAGAGAGCATCTTCCTTTCTGTGGTAATAGAGGTAATCGACGGTTCTGGCGTTGTCCTGAACTCTAAAAACATCGCAGAATTGTATAATTTTGTTGTATCTTCTGATGAAGTAAAGGAGATTGGCATGGCTATAACGTACAAATCGTTGTCAAGCATAATTGGAAAATTGTCTCATTTGAAAGAGAAACATACTTTGCAAGAGTCACTTATGAATACTACAGGGATTCAAGACCTGGTTTAAAAGTGTATTGCGAACTTCCATTAAGATATATTTTGTAAGGTTTATTTGAAAGAGAATGAAATCTCAATCTTCAGGCAATTGAGCCTTCTTTCAGAACTTTTAGAATAGCCTTTTAATATTAAGGATAGATAGATAGTGTCTCAGTTGATAAAACATAACAGGTAGAACTCGGGGGTACGTTTGATTTCAAACAAAAATGAAGGCTTAATATCTGAAAAAGCATGGTTTTAAAAAAGAATAATAATGATAAAAAAATCTACAATGTAGGACTATTTCAAGCATTGTCGTATTGTACGGAGCCCCGTAAGGTTTATGCAAATTTACACTCTCGTTTTCTGGTTTCGCGACTTTTTTTATTCGCGACATTCTATTTTTTTGCAATTTTTTTTTCGTGGCATTTCATTTGTCGCGTCTTTCTTTCGCGACTTTTTCTTTCGACTATTTTCATCGCTGCTCGCTCAGAGACGTAGTCAATTGCTAAAAAAAGTGGCGACATTGTTGTAACTGGTTTATTGCCCCTAAATAAAGCAGTTCTACCAAGGTATTTAATGTAGGATAATCGTATCGATGGAAGCTTTCATTTAAGACTTTAACATCGAGAAATCTTAGCCGTTAGCCTTTGTTTGGCTCTCATATGGAATTGCTTCAAGTTTGCGTTAACTTAAGAGTATTTAGGCTAGCAGATAACTACCGGTCACAATGAAAGTCGAAGAAAAAAATTGCTAAAAGTAAGGTCTCGAAATCAGAAAATGAGAGAGCAAATTTACGTGGCCCTACACGGATTCGGTAGTATTGACATTAAGATGAATGAAGCTGTTACGAGAACGGGTAGGGGGAGTTGAAAGCGAGCTTACCCAGCCCTTAAATGGATCTCGCACTTGTTTTTAGAAGAGACTAAGCTAGTTGTACAGCTTGTGTGAAGGATTACACAGAATGGAATATAATAATAACTCGCGGTATTCTTGTAAGGCGACTAGCTGAGTCATGAAGAGCGCTGTCATCGTAGGAAAACCGCCTTTGACATCTCTCTACATCAACCGAAGGTGTTGCGGGAGGCTATAACGAAAAACAGAGCATGCGTATTCAGTAACAGGCAATAATAGCAAAATTAAAGTTTTAACATGTGTGAGCTAACAGTTTTTTCGGGTAACAAGGGACTAGCGTTGTCAAAATCCTTGAATATTTCAATTTGGGAATCTAAAAAAATATAACACGTGAGAAAACGCGAAAATTAAAGTTTAAAAACAACGAACCTTCATTGAAACACAGAAACACACCAAACGGATCGAAATCCACCAATTTAAAAACCTTGAACCATGACCTTTTAAACCCCTTGAAGTAAACTTCTGTTGTCTATGAGATCAGGTGCAGAAAGGGCACAGACTTCAGATTATTATTGGTAATGACAAAAAAGCGGATATTTTAAAATAATTTTCTAACATTTGAAATTATGTAAAAATGAAATAATCAACATGTCACTAGCGTGGAACAAAGACAACATCTGAGTCCCCAACAAGATGCATAGATATGACCTCCCATACACAAGGCTGGCGCTCTCTATCCACTTTGAACTTTTGAGAACTCATGAAGATCAAGGCCATATACTATACATTAAATATATCTTTTTTTTAGCCGATATTGGCGTTTCGAAAACATCCATTTTTCCGCACGTTGCAGAACTATCAATTCCTGTACTGACTGGAAGTGACTCGCTGAAAACATAAATAAATG